GGCAATAACATCTGCCTAGACTACTAGCCAACGAGGTAACGATATGACATTCAACAGTGCACTGGACAAAGGTGCCTGAGGAAGGTAGATGCAGAGCGCATCTAATTTCATTATAATCCAGCACAAGTCACCGTCCCTGTACCACTCTGCTCTGAAACATTGGGCAGACATCGTAAAACCGAAGGTCGAGCTGTCGGTTAGTACTTTTTATACTTTCTTTAAGATTTAAATTCGCTTAGGATTCTTCATTATTAATTCTAAATCTGTGTACGTGAGTTACCATAGGTTTGCTAGTGCTTCATTGCAAATTCTGGCATTTTGCATCAGATAGGACCGATAAAATACTACTTACTACCTATTGTCCGTTTGTACATATTACGCGATTTGATCGCTTTAGCTGATGAACTTCAGTCCACGTAGTCATAGCAACTTTCGGACCTAGCCGATTAAACTTAAGTCTGTCTGATGTACTCCAACAGACAGACAGTAGCAATTTCAAAACTGAAGGAACGTCTAGAAGGCACACGAGGAATGTTTGGGGAACCACTGACGAGCCAAAACCCTCGCAATTTTGTCTTGCGTGTGACATAGTATGGCGAGACATGTATCTTGACTTTTAGCTGATATTTGTCTCGTCAGTTTGATATGAGGTGCTTACTGTATATTACCTATGCTAATGAAGTTTTACACACGGACACAATTAAACGTGTGCGCTTATCGCAGTGGCTTAAGCTAATAAGCGAAGCCTTATCGCAGGGGTTTAAGTAAATTAAACCCTAGCAACTGCGATCTTCAGGCCCGGTTCTTTAGGAGAAGAAAAGCCATGGGCGGCCAAAGTGGTAGGAACAGTATATTCTCTATATAAGGAATGAAGAATTGGTAGGAATAAGTGGACTGTCGGAGCGCCCATCCACCCCCTAGAGCGGCTTGGCCCGAAGTCCCAGCCTGATGACAACCATAGCGTTGAGGTCCTTTTGAGTTGGCCTTGAAAGCTGATTGGCCCGACAGATGACTGTAGGCAGCCGGTGCATGTGCACTCGTTAGCGGCGGTGAGCCTTCGCACGATAATCGTCTGCGCGAAAAGAGTCAGTACAGTCTTAGCCACTACCATCCTCAGGCCCGGTTCTTTAGGGGAACTGGGACGTCAGGCGGGAGGAATAATATATTCTGTACAGTTAAGGAAAGCTGGCAGTTGGCAGTCGGATGAGTGCGCGTCTGCACCCGCGAGAGCGGCGCCCGAAGTGCGAGAGCGCAGAAGTCGTCACAACGTCTCCAACGA